AGCAAAAAACACCCAACTGTAAAAAGAAAAAGAAAAAAGGATCCAAAAATATGAAGATAGTGTAAGGAGCCTCTGAGACAACTTCAAAAGTACCAACATTTTGGGGGTGCCAGAAGAAGAGAGAGAGCAAGATATTGAAAACATATTTGAAAAAATAGTGACAGAAAACTTTTTTCACCTACCTGGTGAAACAAATAGACTTACAAGTCCAGGAAGTGCAGAGAATCCCAGACAAAAGGAACCCAAAGAGGCCCACACCAAGCCACATCATAATTAAAATGGCAAGGGTTAAAGAGAAAGAGAGAATCTTAAAAGCAGCAAGAAAAAAGCAGTTAGTTACCTACAAGGGAGCTCCCATGAGACTGTCAGCTGACTTCTCAACAGAAACTTTTCAGGCCAGAGGGAGTGGCAAGAAATATTCAAAGTGATGAATAGCAAGATGTTACAACCAAAATTCCTCTACCCAGAAAAGCGATAATTTAGAATTGATGGTCAGATAAAGAGCTTCACAGATAAGAAAAAGCTAAAGGAGTTTATCAACACCAAACCAGTATTATATGAAATGCTGAAGGGTATTTTTTAAGAAGAGGAAGAAGAAGAAAAAGGTAAAGATACAAATTATGAACAACAAACATGCATCTATCAACAAGTGAATCTAAGAATCAAGTGAATAAATAATCTGGTGATCATAATAGAATCAAGGACATAGAAAGGGAATGGACTGACTATTCTTGGGAGGGAAGGGGTGTGGGAGATTCGGGAAGAGACTGGACAACAATCATGCACCTATGGATGAGGACAGTGGGTGGGGAGTGAGGGTGGAGGGTGGGGTGGGAACTGGGTGGAGGGGAGTTATGTTGGGAAAAAAGAGTAACTAATGTAATAACCTGAACAATAAAGATTTAATTAAAAAAAGAAAAGAAAACAGTTATTGTGACCTTCAAACCTTTGATTTGTTTAATAGAACAGTTTTAAATTTACAGAAAAACTGAGAGTATAGTGCACAGTTACCAATACTCTCCACCCAGTTTCCCTTATTATTAACATCTTAATTAGTATACTATACTTTTAAAATAATCAATGAACTAATCCTATAATAAAAGGCTAATATGCAGATTTCCTCCAAGCATGGGAGGGAGTTCAACCTACCAGGAATTAGACATATGCTGACCACCATGGGGCAGCATAGAAAATGGTGGGCATTGGCAACATGGTGCTGGCAGTGGGGCAGCAGTGGAGGTGCTGCTGGCCCTGATGGGCCCCGATGAGAGCAGGACTGAGGCAGGATGGTGGAGCAGGTGAGTGGAGCAGACCAAGGCAGGTGTGAAAGGAGGCCCTGGTCGGCGGCGGCAGGCAGGCAGCCAGGGGAAGGGAGGCCCCGGATGGCAGCCGGCAGCCAGCAGCCACTAGGAACCCTACCTGTGCACGAATTTCATGCACTGGGCCTCTAGTATTAATATAGATTAAATCGTGCACGTGTAGGGTCCCCTAGGTCTAACCTGCCATCAGGGCCATGTCTGCTGCCTTGCGAAGCCTCACACGCTCCACAGATGCTGCCAGTGGCCCACTATGCTCCTTGGATGTTGCCGGTGCCCTGCGACGCTCCAGAAGTCCTGCCTGCTGAGGCCACCGAAGGGCCCAGAAGTCCCTCACACCATGGCCACCACAGGATCCAAAAGTCCCGCCTGCCATGGCCACCACGGGACCCATCAATGCACCTCCTGATGAGTCCAGAAATTGGTTGTGAAGCCGTTACGGCATCATGACCACAGGCCTTTTATGACATAGATTCTTACTAACTCAAGTCCATATTTTATCCAGACTTCCTTAGCTTTTACCTACTGTTCTTATTCTGTTCCAGGATCCTACCCAGAATGTCATATTACATTTAGTTGTCATGTCAACTTAGGCTCCTTTTAGTTGGGACAATTTCTTAGAATTTCCTTGTTTTTTGACAATCTTGACATTTTGCGGCATACTTATCAGTTATTTTGTAGGATGCCCCTCTATTGGGATTTGTCTGATGTTTTTCTAGTGATTAGACAAGGCTTGAGGTACATACTATTAACTAACATGACATCACTGTTAAAGTTGATCCTGATAACCTGGCTGAGGTAGTGTTTTTCAGGTTTCTCCAATGTGAATTTACTCTTCTCTCCCCTGAATTCATTGGAAGAAAGTCATTATTGGCAGCCCATAGATAGGAATGGGAAGTTCAGTTTCCCCTCCTTGAGGGCCAACTATCTACATAAATTATTTGAAATTCTTCTTTCTAGCAGGTTTGTCTTTTTTCTACCATTTATTTATGTATATCAGTTTGGATTCAAGAATATTTATTTTATACTAGAGGCCTGATGCAAAGAATTTGTGCATGGGAGGGGGGTGCCCTCAGCCCAGCCTGCACCCTCTCCAATCCAGGACCCTCGGGGATGTCCAACTGCCAGTTTAGGCCCAATCCTAAACGAGCAGTGAGACATCCCTCTCACAATCCAGGACTGCTGACTCCTAACTGCTCATCAGCCTGCCTGCCTGATCACCCCTAACTGGACCCCCTGCCAGCCTGATCACCCCTAACCGCCTCTGCCTGCCAACCCGATTACCCCTAACTGCTCTCCCTGCCAGCCTAATCATCCCCAACTGCTCCCCCACCCCCCACTGGCCTGGTCACCCCTAACTTGCACCCTCTGCCAGCATGGTCGCCCGTTACTGCCCCCCCTACCATGGTCATCCCTCACTACCCCCCTGCCGGCATTGTCGCACCACTCAGCCTGTTCCGTCATCTGTTTGGTTGTTTCAGATGTGACGGCCCCTGGCTTTTTATATATCTAGATTTAGGTTATAATCTAATACTATGTTATTTGTTTTATTGTTCAAATTGTTCCAGCTTTGGCCACTGAAACCTCTTTTAGTTGGCTCCTATGTCCCTTTGACATATGCCCACCATTAATGTGGATTTGTGTGTGTGTGTGTGTGTGTGTGTGTGTATGTTTCCTTACTTTCTAGCACTATAAAATTCTCTAGGCTCATATTAAATACTAGCGGCCCAGTGCATGAAATTCATGTGCAGGTATGGTCCCTAGGCCTGACCTGTGATCAGGGACATTTTTCCCAGCTGCCCACAACTGGCCCCACCCCCCACTGCCACCCTTCCCCAGGTCCCCATTCACTATTGGGTGATTGGTGCCTGAAGGCTGGGGGAAGGGACCCAGTGGTCTGCTGTTCCAGTCCTCTCGCCGGCCCTGCCCTCACTGCAAGTGGCCATTAGGTGATCGGAGCCTGCCGGCCAGGGAAAAGAGCTAAGAGGTGGTCAGTTAGCCTCACAGTGACTGGTCCAGCGGTCATTCTGGCCATTCTGCCATTAGGGTCAATTTGTATACAGTGGGGTCTTGACTTAGGAGTTTAATTCGTTCCGTGACGGAGCTTGTAACTCAAATTACTCGTATGTCAAATCAAAAAGTGAACGAGTGAGACACGTGATGCTGGGCTGATGTGGCTTTCACTGTGACGTTCGCTGCACCAACTAGCGGTGGGGTATCTGAAGCTGGCTCGTAACCCAAATTTTAGCTCGCAACTCAAAGCAAAAAATCGGCGGAGAGATGGCTCGTATCTCAAAACACTCCTTAGTTAGGACACTCGTAAGTCAAGGCCCCACTGTATTACCCTTTTATTATATAGGATAGAGGCCTGGTGCATGGGTGGGGGCCGGCCACACCTCCGATTGGGGTGGGGGTCCCCACTGGGGACATGGCCGGCCTGAGTGAGGGGCTGCCAGTGGTTTTCAGACCTGCCACCACCCCGATTGCGTGGGGATACCTACTGGGGGGGATGGCAGCCTGGGTGAAGGGCTGCAGGCAGTTTGTAGTCTAGCCATGCCCCCAATCGAGGTGGGGGTCCCTGCTGGGGGTGGGGCCAGCCTGGGTGAGGGGCCTCAGATGGTTTTCAGGCCATCCACATCCCTATTGGGGTGGGGTTCCCCACTGGGGGGTGGGGCCGGCCTGGGTGAGGGGCCACAGGCAGTTTGCAGGCCAGCCATGCCCCTGGCTTTGTCCGGAAGGACGTCTGGAATGACATT